TGGTGCTGCCCGAGTGGCGCCTCGTGGCGGTGGACGCGGGAAGGGAGTACACAGTGCCCGGCGGGTGATTTATCGCAAAAAGGTCTAAAGGAACGGGGCGCCTGCTCTCGGGGCGCCTGCTCTCCAGTTAATAAGTGGAAAGTGCGGTATGGGCCGACTCTACACACGGTGAGCCATACTAGCCCATACGGACCTTGCAGTAGACCTTTTGCTTTTCCTTCTAAGCAGGGCTACACAATGACCCTATAGTGTGGGGGTGTTCCTGGCGAGTTGTGATGAGTAGAATTAGACTAGCCAATACTATTTTGAAGTTCATATACATTATGAAAATACCAACTTGCCCTATGTGCACGTCTCCGCGGCGGCGGCCCGGAGGGGGCCCGGCGGAGCGGTCAGAGCAGCACTGCGCCGGCCGGCGAGCGACTCTCGACTATAGTACGGGCTCTATTGAACGGCCTCAAGGTGCTCTCTCCCTATTCCGCTCGCCCGGCTACGACGCTGAGCTTCGAAGGAAAAGGTTTCGCTCGGCACGGCGTCGGAGAGCAAACTTCGGCGTTCGTCCTAGGAATTCCTAGACAGTGAAGCTGCACGCACGTCGGCAAGTGGGCCCATGACAAGGCGGGCTGCTGCTCAGAATCTGGGCCCTCTTGGCGCTCGCTCTCGCGCTCTCCATAACGGCTTTGCCCCCTCCCTCCCGCGCCGACGTTGGGCAGCCTGACCACGACAACGCCAGTGCCGCAGGCCTGCAACTCGAGGCGCCGTTGAATGAGCACGAGAGCCGGTGCACGACGGCGGCGCGGGTGATGCAGCCCAAGGTGAGGACGAAGGCGGAGGGGGCGGCGGCGGAGGGGGCGGCGGCGGCAGCGGCGATGGCCGCGGGGTCGGCCCGCCCGCCTTTGCTGCAGGGCTGTGGCGTGTGGGCATCATCACAGATCAACGTGAAGTCAAGGAGCGGAAGCTTCAGTGGGCACTTTTCGCGTCCTTTGCCACGCATATGGCGCTGCGGACCGGTCTACCGGACCCGCACCTGATCTTGTTCTCTTCCTCGACTCGACCTTCCGCGATCTTCCTCGACTCGACCTGATGCTGAGTTCCCGCACCAGCCTGCGGACCAGCGCAGCTCAGTGGCAGTGTGCGACCAGGGCCAGTGGTAGACAGTGGACGTGCGTGAGCTGCTA